TTAACAGTATTCCAGTTATATCACGGCGTGTCAGCTTAATGTGGGAGGAAAGCCCGAAGTGATGCAGGTCTCAGACGTTTACCACTTCGGTGAAACCCACGAGCAGGGGTATGGTGCTGACAAAGCTAGAAGCATAATCGGGGCGAACCGGGATTCGAACCCACAATCATAGGTTTCTGGCGTGACCGAGGGACGCAACTCTGCACAGTGAATAGCGGCGCCTTAGATGACTGGGCCACCCGTGCCCTCCGGGATATAAAGCTTTATTACATTACGGTAGGTTCCTTGGCAGGATACAGCCAATTGATAACACGGTATCCGTTGGGGTCATATACTGATAAAGATGCAAATATGAAAGGTCAGGTAGGTACTGCGTTCAGTGTTTACAAACAAACATGGCGTCGCCTTTGTCAATCGGCGATCGAGTCTGAATTAAACATCGGGAATCTGGAGAAATGACTGGGATAATTTTTATACTTAACAGTTTCAGTTGTCACTGCCCCCTGACAAATCGCTGACCTCCTGACGTAGTATGTATAAATGCGCTCATTCCAGAAAAACGTGCAATGTTTAGGTACATGCTTTTTTGACAACATTTGGGTGGTTGGTTTGTTGTTTAACGCCTCACTCAGCAATATTCCAGCTATATGACGGCGGTCTGTAAATAATCGAGTCTGGACTAGACAATCCAGTGATTAATGTCGATGACGTGCATCAACCAAGTCAGCGAGCCTGACCACACGATCCCGTCAGTCGCCTTTTACGACAAGCATAGTCACCTTTTACGGCAAGCATGGGTTGCTTTTGACAACAGAATTAAAGAATGACATTATATGTTCAAAAAGATTATCACGCGAGTGTGTTTTGGGATCGTAAATATCCTGTATTAGGAATAAACACGTATTTAGTGAGCCTTGATATTTACCATCCCTAAACACACTTGCGATATCTCTACATGTTGTGACGTACGGCATTGACTATCATTGTTATCCACGACAGTACTTTTCCACCCCGTTAATGCTACGTCAGTCACCCTCTATATATCACGTTCAGATTCAGGCTGAGATCAATAAATCGATAACTGTCTGTACAGTGTTTCACCATATGCCTGCTGAGAATGAGCTGTACAGTTTATCCAAACACTGACAGTTCCTTCTACTTAATGAGCCAGTGTACTCACACTGTTGCAGAGACATATAGTGTACCCCAGGGTGTTGAGTAGCGAGCCATGTCAGGGTCTGTAAAGTCTTGAGTGTTGGAACGTGTTTGTTTGCATAAAACGTCTCTTTGATATTTTTGCAATTGAACTCGGCAAGAAGAATAACAATATTCATCAATTAGCCTTGTTTACTTATTACTGGGATATATTGATCGGAGGTTTTGAGATCTGTTATTGGCTAAAAGTTGAAAAACTAGGAAACGTGTCCGCATACAAGTTATGAATCTTTTTTTCAAAAGCGGAAGATATTAATGAGGGTTTCCTTTTTGGTTTGAGTGAGTTTATATATTTAACGTTCCATCGGCAAAGTGAAGTTTTGTTATATTTACTTGATTGAATAACTTATTAGGCATTTAGAAGTAATACACATAAAGAAGAGAATTTATGGATGTCAACTTCTTTATTATGAGGGACACAACGTTTCGGAGTATACACTTACTTCTTCATCAACCCGTGAAGATTCCGGGGTAAAATCATCTTCCCGAGGCAAGGGAGTTAACTGACTTTAAAAGTCCAGTTTCCACCCTTGCCGAACTAGGCTGGAATTCCTGGGCTCGATCGTAGCGCCACCAGTGGCTATTACGAGTTATGTCCTTTCTATGCCTCTCCTATTGACCAATCAGATTTAACCTCTCGTATCACTTGCATTTGTTTCAAACAAAACGGTGGGGCCCAGTCAAGACGATCTGATCGATAATCAAGATCTATATTGTGATAAAACGAGTCTAACATCGCGAAGTGCATCAAATCACGTGAGCACCTTGATTAAAAACATGAAAAGATTTAGAAAATATCTGTTGACAACGAGTTAGCGGTGCACATGTTTTGCAAATCCTGCAGTCGACCGAAATCTGCATGACACTCTACGAACCGGATTTCGATTTCGGTGCACGATTTTGATTTGACTATGCATAGACTCGTTAGTCCAGCCAAAATGTAACTCCATAATGCTAGCCTAGTTCGGCAAGGGTGGAAACTGGACTTTTATAGTCAGTTAACTCTCTTGCCTCGGGAAGATGGGGTAGAATAGTTCTTCAGCAACCCATGCTTGCCGTAAAAGGTGACTTTGCTTGTCGTTAGTTGCTTGGCGACTAACGGGATCGGGTGGTCAGGTTCGCTGACTTGGTTGATGCATGTCATCGATCCCAATTGCGTGGATCGATGACCATGATATCAACCACTGGATTGTCTGGTCCAGACTCAATTATTTACAGACCGCATTCATATAGCTGGAATATTGCTGAGTGCGGCGTTAAACAACAAACCAACCAACTTCTTCATGAGGTCATTCATCATTCACCTGATGAAGGAGTAAGCATATACTCTGAAACGTTGTGTTCCTCATACTAAAGAGGTTGACATCCATAAATTCTCTTCCTTATTGAGCATTGTCATTCACGTACAAATAGGTGAGGTGAAATGGGGTTTAACGTCGCGTCCAAGATTATTGCACTTTTATAGCGACGTGCATGTACGTGTGTGTGTTTGTGTGGCTGCTTGTACTAGTCCGGACTGACGCCGATTTATAGTGCTAGCTCACTGAGATACCATGCCGCAGTTTAACATGAATACCCCACTCAGACACAGTATACTGACTCTGAGCCGACCAGTCCTTGTTTTAGCCCCTTAATGCCGAGCGCCAGACAGGGTAACAACAAGTACCATCTTTTAACGTCTTTTGGTATGACGCGGCCGGGTATCGAACCCCGGACCTTCCGGTCTCCGGGCGGACGCTCTACCACTAGACCACGGAGGCGGTCACGTACAAATAGGGGCAGTGGGGTAGCTATGTGGTTAAAACGTTCGCTCGTCACGCCGTATGCCCGGGTTCGATTGCCCACATTGGTACAATGTGTGAAGCCCATTTTCTGGTGTCCCCCGCCGTGATATTGCTGGAATATTGCTAAAAGCGGCGTTAAACCATACTTACTCATTCACTCACGTACATTAATTAATAACAATATTAACAGAAACACACCAAGCGCCTGTTCATCAGTAAGTTGTGCATTGGACGCTAAGCTGATGGCGGGCATGTGCGTACATGTTGCCTAAGTAACTCACTATGTTGAGTTGCGTCTCTTGGTCATGCCAGGATGCTCTGGTCGTGGGTCCGATCATTACTCTTTGTCTGCAAGCACCACACCCGTGTGCGTTGGTGTCACAAAAGTGGTAACTTTAAACGTTCCTCCCCACATCCTGACACGGCGTGATATAACTGAAATACTGTTGAACACAGGGTTAAACCAACTCACTCACTAATGCGAACACAGACAATTGATAACGAACTTTATTGTGCGAATGCACAGAGGTGCACATTGCATGTGCATGCGGTTCGTATTTTTGCAGTTCTACAACATGAAGTGGGAACATGCACAAAAATGTAATTCATAAATATTCTCGTCACATTTCAGCATTCACTATCGCGCAAACAATATTACTAAAAAAGTATTATCCCAAATATAACATTTTCTAAATGGCATTGTGTGTTTAATATTCTTAGGTATGGGATTTTTATTATTGGCAGAATATTGTTTCACTGCTTCAAGAGAAATTATCTTCGTTGAAGGGATGGGCCACGCAATCTTAGTACTCACGCATCAAGTTGAGGATACCCAGCATCTCCAGCAGACATTTGGTGTTTTTCGGTATCCTACTACTACTACTACTACTACTACTACTACTACTACTACTGACCCGTGAAGATCCGGGGTTAGAATAGGTCTTCAGCAACCCATGCTTGCCGTAAGAGGCGACTAACGGGATCGGGTGGTCAGGCTCGCTGACTTGGTTGATGCATGTCATCGATCCCAATTGCGTAGATCGATGACCATGATATTAATCACTGGATTGTCTGGTCCAGACTAGATTATTTACAGACCGCCTTCATATAGTTGGAATATTGCTGAGTGCAGCGTTAAACAACAAACCAACCAACCAACAACCAACCACAATTAATACTACTACACCCGTGAAGATCCGGGTTAGAATTGGTCTTCAGCAACCCATGCTTGTAGGAAGAGGCGATTAACGGGGCCGGGTGGTAAGGTTCGCTGACTTGGTTGATGCATGTCATCGTATCACAATTGCGTCGATCGATGCTCCATCACAGGATTGGACCGCCTCCGTGGTCTTGTGGTAGAGCGTCCGCCCGGAGAGCGGAAGGTCCAGGGTTCGATCCCTGGCCGCGTCATACAAAAAGACGTTAAAAGATTGTACTTGTTGTTACCCTGTCTGGCGCTCGGCATTAAGGGGCTAAAACAAGGACTGGTCGGCTCAGAGTCAGTATACTGTGTCTGAGTGGGGTATTCATGTTAAACTGCGACATGGTATCTCAGTGAGCTAGCACTATAAATCGGCATCAGTCCGGACTAGTACAAGCAGCCACACACACACATACACGTGCATGCACGTCGCTATATAAGTGCAATAATCTTGGACGCGACGTTAAACCCAATTTCACCTCACCTCACCATCACAGGATTGCCTGGTTCAGACTCCATTATTTATAGATCGCCGTCATACCGTCAGATAGTTGGAATATGTAATAGTAATATGGAATCCGCCATCGGCCATTATATAGCGCATGGGCGGATACAGAGGGGGGTGCGCACCCCCCTTTTTATTTCGAAATAAATCTTTATTTCTGTATAAATTACCACCAAAGACAATAAATAGATCTAAATTGTGCACACACACACCCCCCCCCCCCCCCCCCTGTATCCGCCCATGTAGCGTCTGGTGCCACACTTGGTACAAGACTATCTTACGTTACTAACGTATATTAATTTGAACTTTGAAACGATCTCAATGAAACCAAACTTTTATGAACACATCGTAACATCTTCTTTTCAAAACAGCTGATGCAGCTGAAGTAAGTGCTCTCACTACCGCTCCTGTCATCCACGATTATCCAGTGGAGTATATCTCCATTCTGTTCGGCTAAAAACTCGCCAGCTTCGATTTGGACCGTATTATAAATACACGCCGCTAAAAATAGCTGATCAATGTGAAACATTGAGTGCTTCGTTAGTGGTAAGAACGAGATGATGACGTCACTTCCGAAACGAAGGTTTGTTGGCGAATGGGTCCACGATGTTCATCATAATAGAATAGAGTTAAAATACACTGGATACTCTTGAATGCGTCCCTGTGGCACTTTTCCATATTGCATTGGCGCCAAATTCAAACGAGCTAAAATGTTTCAATAACGCAGCTATGAAACGTGGGGCAGAATCTCGTGTTACTTGATCATACGTGTTGCGCATGACGATCACGTGGGTGTGAGCGTTCCGTTCCACGTTGCACCTGTAGAGTTGAAAGAGCACGTGCAGCTCGAGGAGACAGGGGATTTGAACTGGACCAGAAGCACGAAGTAAGTGATGAGCATGCCAATCACCTGAAATGTACAATGATTGATTATCAGGCATCAGAATGACACTTGTTGGGTCCTCGACAGTCAGAGACACGGCCAATACCGTTTTTTGATTATTTGTTGTTTAACACCGCACTCAGCTATATGACGGCGGTCTGTAAATAATCGAATCTAGACTCGATCCATGCAATTCGGATACGATGACGTGCTTCAACCAAGTGAGAGAGTCTGACCACCCGATCCTGTTACTTACGACAAGTATAGTCGCCTTTCACGACAAGCATGGGTTGCTGAAGACCTATTCTACCCCGGATATTCACGGGTCCGGTCAATGCTATGAATATCTAACTTTCATGGTGACTTACCTGATAAAACGGGCTAAATTTCCTATCAGGCTTAAGAGTATTTCAGTGATACCATGGCGAATCAGTTCAACTCAATATGTAATGAAATCCCAAGTAAAAGCATAATTCGCACTCGGCGAATCCAACGCGCATGGGAATGGTGCTTACAAACGAAGGATGAAGTTGGCCTTATGCGTTAGTGAATGGGAAATACGTGCATGCATTGTAAATTTATGCAATCTGCGATTTGCACTGAGTCTATTTATAAATGATAGCATTTATATATCCCAAGATGCCGTTAACTCGAGGGCTTATGTTAGACATGTCAATAATGGTGGAGAGACATGTTTTGCTGCACCTGGCTCACAGACCGACACTAAGACTGGTATACCACGCATTCCTCGGCTTGCATAGTCACGTGACACAGCATATGGCCACACTTCATTGCAACAGGTTTTCGCTCTGTTACAATATTTCTGAATTTGAACACAAAGATTGTCTGTTAAGGATATAAAATCGACTTTTGCGCAGTATTTAAAAAAAGAAATTAAAAACCGTTTTAGTGCCCCTTGTCGAGTAATTGATTAAAACCGAAACGGTAGTTTCAGGAACTAGACACATCACGTACAATTTCGTTAAAAATGAGGAAGATCCTAAGGGTCAGTCTGACGTCGCCGGACCCCTTGAAGATCCGGGTAAGAATTGAATTTGTGTTCTACAACCCATACTTAACGAACGAGGCGACTGGCTGATCGTGTCAGGTTCGTTTACTTGGTTGATGCATGTCATCGTATCTTAATTGCGGGGGCCGGGGCTCCTGATATCAATCACTGGATTGTCTGGTCCAAACTCGAGTATTTACATACCGCTGGTGTATTGCCGAGTGCGGTGTACAACAATAAACAAACAAATAACGCCGTCGGTTCCAATGGAAATTCCGGCCATCAAATATACAATAACACCCGCAAAACTAAAAACACATAATGTTTTTCTTTTACTTTGGGAAATACTTGATTCTGATTGACCAACTAAAATAAATGACAGCCTATGCATGCGTCGGAATCACAGCCCATAATTTCCATCAATATATTTGTACACGCATTTCTATTCGAAAATCTTTTTGTTTTTAAATTGTATGTAAATTGAAAACAATCCAAGCAAATGTGTGTACTTTTTATTATTGTCAGAATAGCCGAACATTTGAAATCATTGGCGCTCAGCACTGTCCATCTTTGTCTCAACAGGCTGTAAACAATCGAGACCAGTGTTGTTGTTTGTTGTTTGTTTGTTGTTTAACGCCGCACTCACCAATATTCCAGCTATATGATGGCGGTCTGTAAATAATCGAGTCTGGATCAGACAACCTAGTGATTGACATCATGAGCATCGATCTACGCACCTAGGATACGATGACAAGAATCAACCAAGTCAGCGAGTCTGACCACCCCATTGAGTCGCACAAATTTAGCGACATCATGTGTTCACAGGTGACGGTGTCATCACTTATTTCAGTTATCCATTCAAAAAACTTGTATCACCCTTTTGCCTTCTACGCCCTGCATACGTATTCACACAGTGTTCGAAATACCTGCCTGCCCGACCGTCCGAGACGGGTTGATTTCAACTCGGGCTGCCAGATTTTCAAATCCCCCTGCCCGACGGTCGGGTTTTATTTCATATGTGACAATATTCTAAATATTTCCCGATGATAAGCATTAATTCACATGTAAAGATGAATGATAAAATGTAACCAAAAAGAAATCCCGTTAGGTTATCCTGAGAAACATATGATTATAGTGGGCAGGCAGGTTTTGGTCAAGGCTGGCAAGTATTTCAGCTGGCCAGTCCTGTGGTCTGGCTGAAACTTTTGGGAGTTTCATACCCTGATTCACACCAGGCCGTGACGTATTGATTCTGATACAGATAGGGGACACAAGACACCAAGGCAACCGCTGTTTGTGTTGGTGTATTATGAAATTTGGATTGGCGGGAGTGAGAGACGCCATCTGTGTCAACAAGACGTGAACACAGACATCGTCTGTTGTGTCATGACGTGTGTGTTGTTGGAACGGGTAAATGCCCTCGGTATTGATATGAAAGACGTTGATTCAGATGCAGTTTGTAGTCAAGGCAATGCCCCGTTTTAATTTATCATCAAAGTGCGTGCGTTTGGTTTGGAGCATAGATATACATTGAGGTGAGGTGAAATGGGGTTGCTCTTCACCTTCAAAGTATTGCACTTATTTTGCGAAGTGCATGCACGTGTGTGTGTGGCTGCTTGTACTTGTTCGGACTGATGCCGATTCCATAGTGCTTGACCACCTACCATGCTACAGTTTAGCATAGAAACTATCAGAAATAGTATACTGATTCCGAGTAGTAGTAGTAGTAGTAGTAGTCGTAGCAGTAGTCGTAGTAGCAGTAGCAGTAGCAGTAGCAGTAGCAGCAGTAGTAGTAGTAGTCGTAGTCGTAGCAGTGGTAGTAGTCGTAGTAGTAGTAGTAGTAGTAGTAGTAGTGGTAGTAGTAGTAGTGGTAGTAGTAGTAGTAGTGGTAGTAGTAGTAGTAGTAGTGGTAGTAGTCGTAGAAGCAGTAGCAGTAGCAGCAGTAGTAGTAGTAGTCGTAGTCGTAGCAGTGGTAGTAGTCGTAGTAGTAGCAGTAGCAGTAGCAGCAGTAGTAGTAGTAGTAGTAGTGGTAGTCGTAGTCGTAGCAGTAGTAGTAGTCGTAGTAGTAGTAGTAGTGGTAGTAGTAGTAACTTTTAAGGGCGAACTTGGTCGAGATGAAGGCCTATTTGCGCCCACTTACTCCGAGTCGACCAGTCCTATTGTAACCCCTTAAGGTTCTAGTTCACCAATCGCATTTGGTGCGGAACTATGGGTGGCGTGTTTAGCATCCTGTACTCGGAAAAGGAGCTGGCTTATTGATTCTTTAAAGGAAGACTGTGAACACATGAACATGTAATAGCCGTTGAAAATAACGTCACTATAGAAGCCTGTGGGAAAACATTTGGTTGTGTAACCTAAATGCGGCGCGGGGGATGGGGTGGGCACGGGTGGAGATTCCCGTAGGCGCCGCAATTCGCTGTGTAGAGTTCCGTATGATCGTGAATTCGAATCCTGGTTCACCCCGATTATGTTTCTAGGCTCATCAGTACCATACCCGTGTGGTTCCCCAACGTGGTAAACGTCTGACTTCAGGCTTTCCTCCCACATTAAACTGACACGACATGATATAACTGGAATACTGGTCAATGCTGCGTCACTCATAATGACATAACATTAGTGTGTGCATTGGCGACTTTCTGGGGTAGAATAGTTCTTCAGCAACCCATGCTTGCCGTAAAAAAGGCGACCATGCTTGTCGTAAGACGCGACAAACGGGATCGGGTGGTCAGGCTCGCTGACTTGGTTTAAGCATGTCATCGATCCCAATTGCGTGCGTGGATCGATGCTCATGATTAATCACTCAATCAATCATAAAACAACAAACCAACCAACCAAGCATGGCTTCTACATATTAATCTAACGGTAACTGTCAGCCCCACCCATCGCTGATGCTGTTCTCTAATGGTTCACACACAGGTTCAGGAATCTCAATATGGTATCAGATGATAGTTCCAGAAAACACACGTTTTATTATGATCGGCGAAAAATACAATAATTGTATATTATACAGTATTAATGTTTCCGTCCAAACTCTAGGTGCCCGCTGAGTTGGTTAAACCATAGCTATTATCATGTTCACTTATGTGCTCGGTGAGTTAGTTAAACCAAAGCTAATAACACACTTACGTGCTCGGTGAGTTAGTTAAACCAAAGCTAATAACACACTTACGTGCTCGGTGAGTTAGTTAAACCATAGCTAATAACACACTTACGTGCTCGGTGAGTTAGTTAAACCAAAGCTAATAACACACTTACGTGCTCGGTGAGTTAGTTCAACCAAAGCTAATAACACACTTATGTGCTCGGTGAGTGAGTTAAACCATAGCTAATAACACACTTACGTGCTCGGTGAGTTAGTTAAACCATAGCTAATAACACACTTACGTGCTCGGTGAGTTAGTTAAACCATAGCTAATAACACACTTATGTGCTCGGTGAGTTAGTTAAACCATAGCTAATAACACACTTATGTGCTCGGTGAGTTAGTTAAACCATAGCTAATAACACACTTACGTGCTCGGTGAGTTAGTTTAACCATAGCTAATAACACACTTATGTACCCGGCGAGTGAGTTAAACCATAGCTAATAACACACTTACGTGCTCGGTGAGTTAGTTAAACCAAAGCTAATAACACACTTATGTGCTCGGTGAGTTAGTTTAACCATAGCTAATAACACACTTATGTACCCGGCGAGTTAGTTAAACCATAGCTAATAACACACTTATGTGCTCGGTGAGTTAGTTTAACCATAGCTAATAACACACTTATGTACCCGGCGAGTTAGTTAAACCATAGCTGATAACACACTTACGTGCTCGGTGAGTTCGCTAAATGATAGCTAATAACACACTTATGTGCTCGGTGAGTTAGCTAAACCATAGCTAATAACACACTTATGTGCTCGGTGAGGTAGTTAAACCGTTGCTATTAACACACTTATGTGCTCGGTGAGTTAGTTAAACCAATGCTAATAACGTTCACTTAAAGAACCTTCATCTGAGCAACGCTAACTGGA